GGTACATCGAGTTTAGGTGCGCAATCATCTTCTAAAAAAAATAACACACTATGTTGGAGAAAGAAGGGCATATTGATCTATAAGGTATTAGTGCAGTATAATTCTATAATATGTAACATGAAGAAAATGAGATGCTCAGTTGCTAACTAAGAAACTAAGAACTCAAAAAGGTCGATATTTCACTCTCTCATTACGGTGCACCACCAAGGGAGTAATTTTGATTATCAGTGTTTTAGGTGAAAACTTCCCCTCAATTTGAGACCTCTTATTATTTCCAAGTCAAGCAAGCGCAAGAGATGTGTTCAGAGACATTGAAGTTCCCATAGTATTACCAATAATCAAGGGAAAGCAGTAAGCACTAAAGAAAGCAAACCTTTTTTACAGTTGAACCTATAGTGTAAAACTGCTAAATTCAAACAAAATTGTTCCAAGAACTCGAAAGGCACCTAAACGTAATTAGAAATTGTATACAAAGTTAGTCTTAGCTAATGTCTAAAAAACTTTGTCGCAGATCATTACCCCAGGGCGCATAACTTATAACATAGGGTGGACCATAGCAGCGAAATGCAGTGCATTAGCAGGAAAAAATATCACTCTCACAGTTCCATGCATCACTAAGGCGCCTAACTAGCTTTTTTATTGTCTTAAAGAATTTTACTAAGCAAAATCCGTGATAGTAGCGGGTAATGGGTTTTATCGAATTCTTATACGCATCTTCTAGATGTAGAAATACGAACTTCAGGGATGGTCATGTTTTTTACAAGTTTCAAAGGTAACTACAGCTAATGTTGTGGCAGGTATTTTCCAACACGATCTTGCTTATATAGTAGCATAATGCCTGAGAAGGTTGAAAATGCGTAGGGAGTTGAAAAATGCATCGATCAAACTATATAGTGGAAATTGATATACCTAAATAAGAATACTTTAGGATGATAACTGATAAAGAGACGGCAATCTTTCGTGAAAAGATTGATCCGAACTTCCCAGATTTGATCGAATTAGCAAGGAAATGTCCATTGGTAAATTTGCATTAATTTAGCACCAGTTTCACTTGCAAGAGTAGCATTTGAGGTGATGGTAAACTCAAATGAGCTTTATGACTTTCCCAGACCTACACTTGCGAAAATAGTGAACATAGGCGGTGTAGGAGCTCAGTTGAAGGATGTGGAGCCATTATCACATGTGAGTTTGAAGAAAATCCTGTAAACAATGTATTGATATAATGTCAACTCTCATTAATAAGCTTAACATAAAATAGTTTAGGAATTCCAGCAAATAGTTGATGTTGCCAAAGGAATTGTGGTATTTTCCTTTGGCTCAGTTGCTCCAAGTGATAGAATGCCTTTTGCCTGGAAAATGGCTTTCATTGACGCCTTTAAGCGCTTTCCAGACTATCATTTCATCTGGAGATATGTGGGAAGTGATTTAAACGGTGAAGC